AATTGCCAAAAGCTGAATTCTGAATACACGATGCTAACGCCGAATTTCTCTTTCTTTTTTATTTGACTTTTTCTCATCACTCTTTTTCTTCTGCCGTCCCCCGCACGACACGACGCACTTTTCAAGCTTGCCAATTGCTAAACAAACACGTTAAAAAAATAAATAAGTCTTTATTTTATTAAAACAAACATTTTTAAATAAAATAAGTTTAAACAAACTAATTCATTAATTTATATTTTTGTGAAAAAACATCTAGAAAACTTTTCATTATACTCATGTACAATGATGACCCATAAATTTATATTTTTGTAAAAAAATATATCTAGAAAACTTTGTATTATTCTCCTATATATTTTCTTGAAAAATAAAAAAGGAAGAGGGTTGAAAGACTAAAGTATAATCTTATCACTCATTTTAAAAATAAAATGCTACTACCAGTTATAATCCTCTGTCTTATATGAAAATTATTAAGAAATACTATAAGTGTTAGCAACAATTTCAGTGAAGTTGTTCTTTTCATATTACATACCAAAATCATCTTTTTGAATTGAAATGTTTGTTGTACAAAATCAATATTCTGATTCCTCAACTCATTAACACGTTTCTCTTTTTTTTTTTTTTGTTGGGTTTTTTGTGAATACAATAGTAACTAAATCATATAATTGAACTTAATATTATTATAATTCAAAACTTTAAGATATTAATTAAGTAGATGAGCATTTCTTACTTATATATTATTTAACACATCTAACTTTAATCGATGTGAAACTTACTTTATATTAAACTTCAATACTTTTTTTTAAGTGTAAGTCTCCTTTACATAATTACATTCTTTTCAAGTGAAAGTTTTTTTCATTCACGAGTATTCAATAGTAGCTTACTTATACTTGCACCATCATTGCACATCAATGGGACAAGTCTTTTGCACCCTAGGAAGACTTTTCGATATAAATATGCTCTCAGTCTTGGATCTTACACCAATTCACTCTTGAAGTCTACAACTAATTTCATTACTCTATATATTCATTTGAGTCAATCTTCAGTTACATGATCAAACTATTAACTTTAATACCATTATATTGGGTTAAAAAATTAAACACCAAAAAGCACTCATTTTATTAATAAATAATAAGTAAATAATAGAAATGAACTTGACACTATAATTCAACACCTTAAAATATTAAGTAGGTGAATTTTTCTCTCTTATATATTACTTTAATATGTTTAACTCTAACTAATATCATACTTATTTCACACTTCAACTCCAACAAATTCTTGGGTCGAACTTTAATCTATGAATTCGTGGTTGCTTGTATCCTGTTCTATGTCTTAATGCGCATGGAGCTTCATGTCAAAACATGGAAACTAGCTTTTAATATAAAGCTTTACGTTGGCCCTTGTAACTTTATGTCAAAACATGCGTCTTTTTCTGTTACAGGATATATCTAATTTCATGAATATATCAATTTTATTTGTAATGCTTAGACTAACTGATATGTCATTTAAGCATTGTGAATACTAGGCATAACAAACTTTTTCACTATTTTTTTCCTTATTTTTTTGCACGAAGAAACATTATAACTTAGGGAGGGGCATTTGAAATGCAGAATTTTTTATTCTTAAATATTTTTAGCAATTATGGTTTTCATTTAATAATTTTTAAAATATTTTAAATACGTTTCGTTTATTTAATATATACCTAGGCTAAAATGTTAGATAAAATTTTATAAGTTTATTTAAAATTTTACTGCCATTTTAGTTTTATATTGTCTACATGAAAATATTTTATTAAAAGATACGATTAAAAATATTTCTTAGAATATTACTTTTTTAAAAATATATGCTCAACATAAGAATTTAAGATTATTGAAAAATTAGAAGAATCTCTTCGCCGAACACTTCCTTAAGTTACTCTCCCTTTCACCAAGCTCCCACCTTTAATTTTATTGTTTGATGTGCTATTTTCGTCTTCATTTCGAAATTATATTGCAAGATTTTTTTCTATTATAAATTATCAATATGTATGACATTTTATCTCTGGTATCGATATCCAAAGACCATAAATTAACTATTTTAACAATGTTGCAGCAAGAATCTGATCATTATTATCAAAATAATGACATATGATAAAAAATAAATTGTGGATTAAAAATTAATTGGAGAGTTAAAATACAATTTAGTCTTTATAAAAAACGTGAGAACTTAAAAATATACATTTATTAAAAAAATCAAATAACATGTTAAAATTAATGTAATTTTAATCAATCAAATATTTAAGTCCTTTATAACATGTTAACATCATTTTTTATAGTAAGAAAAAACATTAGATTAAAATAACACGCGTTTCCTTATAAGATTATGAAAGACCAATGACATTGATGAGAATTTATTATAAATTTTACATAATCAGTATGAAGAAAATACTTGATCAAGTGTGTCAACCTCTGTTGACAATGTCAATAAGTAATTAATTTAATATATGAGATTATTGAAAATAGTAGTTTGTGTAAGTATTTAATGTTAAAATAAAATATTTATACAACTTTTTATTTTACTTAAAAAGAGCAACTTGCATTAAGACAATTAATTGAGAAGATGAAGGGAGGCTAGCTTCCTGACATATGGCTGAGTCAATATTTAGGAAAAGGAAAAGGATGCTAAGGAATGTTACCCTATAAATTCACGGCCTACGTAATAACTATTATTCCCAGTGGGAATGTTTTCTCTGGTGATTAATAAGTAATTATTTTTTAATATAAAAAAATATTATATTTGTGAGAAAAATAAAGCTATATATTAACTATCGTTCCCACTGGGAATGCTTTTTAGTAAGTAATTAATTTTTAATATAAGAAAAAAAATATATTTATGAGAAAAAGAAAGTTATATATATACATATATATATATATATATATATATATATAT